TCAGCCACACAAAACATTACATTTTAGCATAAAGCCACTGATTAAGAGAGGAACGTTTTTCTAACTGCTGGGTCTTCAAGGTCACATCTTTACTCTGCCGGCTCAGACACTATGGGGAGATCTGTGACCCCCCCCGTAGGAGGCTGAGTTAGACAGACAGCAAAATTGGCCAGAGATATTCCATTCCATATATCTGCGTAAGCTCAGAGGAAGGTCAGAGATCACAGAAGACAACTTCCTTCCTTTTTCTTCTTCTCTTCTCTTCTGTCCATGGCCGGTGTGCAGGGTGGACTCCATCCATCAATCCATCACCATCGACCCCCAGGCTCGAGCTCTCCTGACCCTCATCACTCTCTGCTCTCTCCAGCAGCAGCTCTGGGATTCCTCTGGTCTGTTCACAGCTAAAGAGATACTGTGGGAGTTGCTGGGGGGGGGAGGTGAGAGGCATTTTGCACATCCTTGAACATATCTGTATATAATAGTATATATTTTCTTATATAAATAGTGTTTAATTAAAGGTGTGCATTTTGGTTTTCAATCCAGCCAAGTCTCTCTCTTTTTCTCTCTCTCGTTCCCTACCTGGGTGGGATGGGGAGGGGATCGAGAGCATTGTTGTCAGACCTGAGTCAAACAGTGACACTATAGAAATGAGCCCAGTTTAGCTTAAGCAGCTCACGTCCTGCAGGCTGGTTGTGTTTTCTGGAACAACAAAGCTGTAAGATCTGAAATTGTCTGCTGGCCTTACCCCCCATTATTTTTGTGCTCTCCTAATGCTTCAATTTTAAAACAAATGACAAAAACAAGGAGGACACAGACACTGCTGACTCTTTTCATCAGCCACACAAAACATTACATTTTAGCATAAAGCCTTTCATTTTAACAATGAAAGGGAAAAAAAAATCAACACATCACCAAAAAAAAAATTTATTTTTTTTTTTTTTTTTTTTCAATTGGTTGATGTCTGTTAATTGAAATCTATCTTTCTGGTCTTCCTTACCTATACGAATATTATTTGTGCCACATGGGAGAATGCCACTATCCTATGCTGGCATTGCCAGAAAGATCAATTTTAACAGGATTTCTTAGGCCTTTGAGGCAACATCTTTGTCTAACTTCACTTTGTTCCTCACCATAAAAAAGCTGGAAAGTGGAGGCACCAACAGCACACTGCTTGTGAAAGGGAATGACATATATCTAAATATATACACAGATGTCTAATCGCTTGGGAGAAGATGGTGGAAAGAGAAGAAGAGCAGAGATAGGAACAGGATTCACTGTCAGAATTACCTAAGGGCTTTAGAAGTCAATGGAAAATCCAAGTACTAAAGTTACGTGTTAACTGAATAGTGTATGAATAAGCTGCTGCCTTCTACCATTTAGCATGGAGATGGATGCAGAACATGCCAAAAAGAAGAGAAAAGGATTGTACAGTAATCCTTAGAGCTATCTGTGCTTCTTTTATCTATCAACAGGAGAAGGAATTGGCAGTAGACTTTGAGGCATGGTATCTTTCCTCCTGAACTAGATCTCCCAGCAGAGACTGCATAGGAGACCACTTTCAAAGCAAAAGTCAAGTGATAGCTATGAAAACTATTTGCTGCATCTCTGGATGACTAGAAGTCATGTTAACAGCCCTTTCTTGAAGTACAGGGATGCACACGTCATACACACAACCAGTCCTTTATATCTAGGCTGCAACATTACAGGCGGACTTTTATAATCATCTACCTTGGAATTTAGAATACTTGCACTGGAACTGTTAAGCATCATGTAGCAATGCAGATTGCCTGTTTTTTGAAACATTTCTCATACTAAAAATGGTTATTTGGGGGGGTTAAATATTACTTTAAATAAATATGTTCCTAACCTAACATAAAAGCTGTGATTCAGATGATCAAGAAGAAATTTTCCAAATCAGAATTTGTTATGAGCTTGATTTTATTATTAGGTTTAAGTCATCCTAAAGCAAACAGAATAATAAAGAGGGCAAGCACACACTGAAGTTGTAATCAATCTTGCAATTTTCTCTTCCATTCTTAGAATGAAGAAGGTAAAGAGCAAGCTACCTCATAGCTCTGTTCTGAAACATCCCACCAGCATGAAACACCCTCTCCAACAAACTCGTGAAGATTATTAGTTATTTTTTTTTAACTGAAAGCAATAGTTCCACATGGAACTTTCTTTGCCATCATTCTTCTGAAAATACACATTAAGTCTATGCTTAAACATCTATCTGTCTATCTATCTATCTATCTATCTATCTATCTATCTCTTTCTTTCTTTCTTTCTTTCTTTCTTTCTTTCTTTCTTTCTTTCTTTCTTTCTTTCTTTCTTTCTTTCTTTCTTTCTTTCTTTCTTTCTTTCTTTCTTTCTTTCTTTCTTTCTTTCTTTCTTTCTTTCTTTCTTTCTTTCTTTCTTTCTTTCTTTCTTTCTTTCTTTCTTTCTTTCTTTCTTTCTTTCTTTCTTTCTTTCTTTCTTTCTTTCTTTCTATCTATTTATCTATCGATGAGGAGGATTAATGAGGTCCTGGGTAAAATGGAACTCAGTAACAGAAGTACCAGTTCCTACCATACTGTAAAACTGAATCTCAGCATAATTGAATCACATCTATATCCTTGTTATAAGGTTACAATTGATATAACACAGGGAAGTTATTCATGCATATGCACATCAATGTGCACAGCCATTTATTGCTCATGCATATCCATTATAAAAACAGGTGAGTGGGTGCATGCAAAAGAACATGCAGAATTAGACTCTTCCTTCCTTCTGTTTCTTCCACTATTCATAGTTTTTTCATGTTTCTAGTTAATTAGTAGATACAACATTCTTAGTGGCATCTCAGCATAGGTACAAGAAGGAAGTTTTGAACGACACAACCCTCCTACTACTTTTATTACAACTTGTTCAATGCAGTAGCTACCAATATCAAAAAACTTTGATGCAATAAAATATTTTGCAAATGTAACAGAAACTTAAGCCTCTCTGTTTCTATGTTGTTCTTAATTTTTATAACTGTGATGTTTCACAATATCTTACTAAGCTAAAACATCTCTCAGAAAAAATCCTAGAAGTGCCTACAGTTCCAAAGACTTTAATAAAATATATAGTCTTTGGTACCATGAGTTCTTTTGAAAATACTGCCTTCTAACTTCCTTTTGAATACAATTCTTGTTTGAAATAGATTCCAAGAAACTGTATCCCAGCAGTTTTCCAAACTTTATCTAACACTTTAAAAAAATCCTTGCCAGATGTCTTAGGATTTCAGCTCAATCCCTTAGTGTCTCCAATTTAGAAAGAGACAAAAGAGAAGCAGCTCTCAGAAGGTCAGACCTCATTCCAGTGAAATTGCACAGTTACAACGGATTTTACTCTGAAGCAAGGGCAGGCTTCACAGAGGTTCCCAAAGTCTCTTGCCAAGACATTAGGAGAATGCCAGGATCAGCTTACAGAGCATGATGACAAAAGGCCTTTTTCTGCTTTACAAACATTTCAAAAGACCAGTAAATTATAATTTATTATTTTGCTCAACCCTAGAAATAGAAAACTCTCAATTACTCTTTTATTTGTATTATCTGTTGCTACACCAAGGGTGTAAGAAATTTATTTGGAAAAAAAACCCACAACATACTCATAAGCAGGCAATAATTTCTGATCTCCAACTCATAATTAATAAACCTGATGTTTGTTTTTAAAAGGGAAGAAAAACTAAGGCTAGTCAGAAGACAGCATGAATATTATGGTACTCATAGACTTCAGGAATATAACAGTACAAGAAAAACATTCCTTAGTATGCCAATGAAAAAGAAAACACTGTAAAAAGAAAGTAACACTGTTGACCACAGTGAGTGGATCTGGTCTGAAATTGCCAAGAAAGGACAAACGATGAGTAGGCACATGATCTTAGATGCGGCTTTGGAAAGCAATTTTTTAACACTCTTCAGCAATGCAATACTTGCCTTGAAAAGTGTAGGCTCTTCATTTTTCTGGCACCTGGGAGAAGGTACTTTGTTAACATTTTTTAATTAAGATTTGGCAATACCAGCCAGATGTTTTGTACATCAATGTAAGAGAAAGGCAGAGACAACCTCTGAATTTTACTTAAGGCCTTCTTTCTTTGTTTACTTACTCTAGCCAGTAAATTTAAACAAAACAAAACAAAACAAAAACACTATGGTCCACAATGCAATAGTGTCTTTCCAGAAATAAGGAAAGATTGAACACCGTAATTCAGTCTAATTTCTAAAATCATCACTGCTGAATGTTTCCTAGGGGTAAAAGTCTAATTGGTTATCGATCGATACGTAATTTCATTCAAAAGGAACTCCACTGTTCCTGAAAGTAGAGAGGTTCTTAAATAAAAATCAACTAATACATTAACAAAGTTGATACTAATCTAAACAACAAAATTTGATACTGCCCTAGTTACATTTATCTCAACTGATAATTTATTTATGTTGCCATAAAAGTCCTTTCAGTTTTGATTGCTAGTTATTCACTTTAAAGCAGCTGAAATACTATTTTAGACTTCCTAGCTTGACAGTCTTGCTTTCTGCTTAAGATTTATCATCACACAAGAACAGCAAAATCAGAAGATAAATTCTAGTATTAACAGTAGGCACAGTCAATTGTGATAATCTGTAATTTCTTCACCAAATTCTACATTCAAACCTCCAGGATTAATGTACCTTCCTCTGACATTGCTAAATCCTGTTTTACGTAATTAGACTGCACTAAACCACTACATCTGTACAGGTACCAAGGTATGATTTGTGATTCAGGAGCAATATAAATTAGCATCGTATAAAGTAAAAGGCATTTGGCAATGTCTGAGACCCTATACAGTATTGCATGCTATGAGCCATTATCATTTAGTTCACTGTTGACCTTAAAAAGGTAATTAACAAACTGCTGTGTTTACATTAGTATAAAATAAACCCCACAAATACAAGAACAGTCATGACAAGAAGAAATAGAATTAATTTGTTAATAATACTTACGATATGCAGCTCTAAATAATCTCCCAGCCCAGTAGAACTGTCCACTCGTACCAACACAGCTTCTTTTTGAACAGTACTAAACCCTATTGCCAGTCTGTCCGCACGAGTGCTTGGCCGATCATTAGGAGGCCACGTGTAAGTGATTTGTCCACCACCTTTGCTAAAGATATATGTTGTTCCCGCTGTAAAACAGAAAGAAAGATAATTAGCTCACTTGCATCAATGCACACTCACATAGAAATCATATGCTCTACAAAATTCAGGATGTTCTCATACAACAAAAGGATTCATAGAACCAAGCAGAACTATATTTCAACAAGAAAGGGTCTTTATCTCTGATAATTCTACAGCAAGCAAAATATTAGCATTTTTTATAAATAGTGCAATAAACACAGAATATAACTGCTTACGCAGAAACTTAAACAACTGTAGCTCTGATTTAAAAATGTGTATCTATTCAGAAGCGTTCTTAAGCACATGCTCAAACATTCTTCTGAGATGTGCAGAAGAGGGATGAGTTGAACCAAATGCTTTCCCAAACTTGGACTATGTGAAGAAGAAATCAAGTCATTCCAGTTAGCTCATGACTGGCAAAAAAATGCAGCTCCTTATTTACACCATGAAAATTGCACACACTATATGATACATCATTCTGCCCAGCAAAGCAAGATGTTGATAAAATACATTTAGATAAGGCTTCTGTGGATCTGAGGTTTATCAGCTTGTGACAGATGGGGATAACAAATGGAAACATACTTTAATTGTCATGTCAAGACAGAAACATATCAGTCTACCATCTAAGTAAGCAATGGCTTGCTTGCATAATGCTCAATGTGTATCTTACAAGAGTGAAAACCTTTGCACATTATCTCCAGTGTGCACTCAGAAAATCCATAATCTGCTTTAAACAAGTGTTGTAATCTGAAACCACTTAGCACTCAGGTGCTTAACTTTCATAATCAGTGTATTTCCTCTGAACTAAAACAGCAGCATAACCAGACAGTTTCTGCTTAGAACTTGTATCCTACCAACAGCATCTAGCAGGAGAATTGTGCATGCACCCGATCTTTTATTTGTAAAGTGGCTACAAACTGTCCACTTCTTTTCTATGAAGATAGATCAAAGCCTAGAGAGATTTGTCAGTGCATTGTGAATACAGATGTCTAGTTTTACTTGCTCCTCTAAGCTGGCTCACTGTATTGCTACTCTCAAATTTGTGAAATGTAATTCAAGTTTATTCCACCCAATACTTTCGCTACATAATTCCCATGCCCACATAAGGAGGTAACAAAACTCTACTTTTCTTACTTCCTTTCAAGATTGAACAAAAGTGCTGTAAGCATACATAAGAAACTAAAATCCCTCAGACATGAAGATTTTTAAAACCAAAACCAAGAAGGGCTGTATAGATACACCACTCCTTCAAGCTCCAGATGTTTCAAAATCTTACTGTACTGATGAACGAGACTGCTTTGTGTCAGTCTCAAAGCAAAAATGTCACCTGGTCTTTTAAAAATTATTTTCTATATTTATTTCCAAAATTACATTTCCTGGATGGAATTACATACCTACTCATTATTTTTTTCCAAGTACCATCCATATGTAATATTGTATGCACTATGCACAACACTTAAAATACTGTAAAGCTCATTTTATATCAACACACATACAGAATTGCACTGTGCTTCAAGTACACCTCTTGGCTTTTCTCTTGATGGCAAAATACCAATCTGCATGTGTTTTAGGGAAACCTGTCAGTGCTCGTTAGCAAAAACAAACACAATAGCAGATCTGATATCTAAGGTTTCACTTACACTCCAAGTGAAATTAGGGTTTATCATAATTGTACAGAGTTCTGCAAGAAAAGGGAAGACAGAGGTTGTTTATTACAAATGTTTTGCAAACAATCAATGGGCATGGGCTAATGATGTCTGGTTTAGGAATGTGTGTGACAAATACCTAATCTCCTGCTCTCCCACCCTTGCTTTCCTAATATGTGGTGCTCTGAAATGCACAATAATCTGTTGCATGCTATTCAGTAATGATGGTTGAATCTCCAGTTCTGGTACATCACAAAAAAAAAGATACATGAGACAGCTAATATCACTCCTGATGGTCCCCAAGTCTTCTTTTTTCTACTACGGTTGACTTCAAATCTTGAGCCACTTGAGGACTGACAGAGTTTGGACCTGCATACACTATGCGTCACATTGGTTTCTGTGGTGAAAGGATGCATTCTGTTTTGATGAAAATCTGTGGGCTTGATGCAAAGCTAATTAAAAACAGTGACAGCTTTTCTGTTGACTTCATAAAATATTGTGTCAGGTCATGAATGATGGTCTTATAAGTAACAAAATGAGAACATTAAGAAAAAACAACTCCTTATACCTCAATGTCACAGATGAAACTGTTAGAATAATACATAAGATTTAAGTGGAAGTGCATAATTCTCCTTTTCTTGGGTGTAACAGATGTAGTTTACCCAATATAGAAGACAAAGCCTGCCAAGCAATGTTGGAGTCATACTGAATACAATGATCCAGAAATAAGTCTCCAGATTTGAACAGTGAGAGGCTCTGTTGTTCTTATTCAGAGTGGAACTTTGTCACAGTTTTTTGCCAAATACTGCCCTTCAAATAAACTAACAAAGTGAAATTCATTTCATACTGCTGCCACATTGAAGCCAAGGTCAATGTCAGTAGGGCTGGATAAATCTAGCTGTAAATCTTAAACTACATAGAATCAACACCAATTTTTTTTAAAAAAAACCTAATCTCTTATCCATGACAATGTGTGGCTTGTGGTCTTTTATTGCAAAGCTTTCGCTTCTTTATAACTGTCCATTTTGTAAGTCTTCGAAATAAGTGAATGTATAGTAAGAGGCTAATTAATCCATGCTGATGAATACACATCTGCCTCTGTACAGGGAGTTAAGTTATTTGAATTTCCTGTATTAATTATGAAAAAATGAGTTGGGAGCCATTTGAGAATAGGTTCTCTATGTTTATATTTCAAGAAAGACAAATATAATAATGTAAAATGTATTACTCTGGGACTGATCTCAGCGTATAGTCTGACCTCCCATTAGCTATTAAAGCTAGAAGCCGAGCAGTTGTTCAAAACCACCCTGCTTACTATCAGTTTTGGATCTGTTAAGAAACACCCAAGGAAGCCCAAGTCACTTGCTCTACACAAAGGCTTTTATGCTCTCTGACAAACTTTATAATGTCTCTGCTGTTCTTTCAGAACACTGTCACTAAAAACCAGTCATCTTCCCTCTCTCTTTTAGCTTATGGCACTGTGTTGTTCAAGGTTTATAATTCCAAGAGCATTGAAAGCAGCAGAATTAGAATGTCAAGAATAGCAATGCCATCAGCACAGTACTTGTAAGTAGGCAAGTTCATAACATGTCAGTTCTATCTCTCAGACACAGAATTTACTGCATAATACTTTATGCGTCCATGCATCTACACAATGCTTAGGAAAAAAATGTCCATACAGCTCTTTGAAATTCTTAGCTGTGAAAGCCTCATTCCTATTGTAACAAACCGCCAGTGGTCAAGGTACAGTAGTGTTTTTTAATGGCCTGGGTCTCTCAAGTCCTACTTGTTTGCAAAATTAATTTTTATGAAATAGTGAATTCATTTCAGCCTGGCTGAAACTCAAGGACATCTGCTTAGGTAGTGTACATAGTTCCATTTAAGTTACACGAGTAACTTGATGTTTATGTTCAATATTTGCATCAGGTTTCAGATACTGATTAAGTGAAAGAAATGTTTTGATTGAGCTCTGATACCCAATGAACTATGATTCCATCACACTCTATGGCTGAAAAGGTAAAGACTGAAGTCTGTGAACACCAACAACAAAAACTATTAGCTGCCCTTTATTAATAGTAAAGCAATGTTTAATGATTATAAAAAAATATGAAGGGTAAGCATTGCTGGTTATAACGAGAAATTACCCAATAATGTAATTATCTTTCTTCTGTATGTTATCAGCACTTGACTTCATTCTGAGTTAGAATGTGAACCCTCTTATTCTCACTGGTAAGTAATTACTTGCATTGATAAACCTATTGAAGCCAGTGAGACTATTTGTGAAGGCTGCTATTAATTACCAAGAGTGAAGAATTTACAATATTAATATATATGTGTGCACATTTCCACAAATATATACATGGCAGCATTAATCACACTTCCTATGTTCATGGGAGCATATAAATGTCCATTAATACTTCTTTTTACATTTTCATCTCTGCATTTTCATCCTGCCTAAGCAGAAGTTCCAGAAAAGACATTTGTTGGAAGAAAATACAGCAGCTCAGATATCATCCATCAAGTTCCTGTGTCCTGGTTTGAGCCAGGATGAAGCCAATTTTCCTTTTACTGATTTTTTTTTCCTTTATTAAGCTTTCTTTTAACTAGCAACAGTGTGTTTTAACTAAAGCTGATAAGACAGTGGAATGATTTTCTAACTGCTGGGTCTTCAAGGTCTAACCTTCACTCTGCTGGCTCAGGCACTACGGGGAGATCTATGACCCCCTCGTAGGAGGCTGAGTTAGACAGACAGCAAAATTGGCCAGAGATATTCCATTCCATATATCTACATAAGCTCAGAGGAAGGTCAGAGAACACAAAGACAACTTCCTTCCTGCTTCTTCTTCTTCTTCCCTTCTCTTCCGTCCACGGCCGGTGTCCAGGGAGGACTCCATCCATCAATCCAGCACCGTTGACCCCCAGGCTCGAGCTCTCCTGACCCTCATCACTCTCTGCTTTCTCCGGCAGCAGCTCCGGGATTCCTCGGGACTGTCACAGCTGAGGGGAGTGCTGTGGGAGTTGCTGGGGGTGGGGGGAGGCGAGAGGATTTTGCTCATATCTGAACATATTTATATATAACTGTATATATATTTTTTCTTATATCACTAATTAGCATTTAATTAAAGGTGTGCAGTTTAGTTTTCAATCCAGTCAAGACTCTCTCTTTTTCTCTCTCTCCTTCCCTACCTGGGTGGAAGGGGGAGGGGATCGAGAGCGTTGTTGTCAAAACTGAGTCAAACAGTGACATCCGGGAATACCTAGAAGTGCTTCTTCATACAAATGTCAGATGTGCCAACCAGGAATGAGGCACTGATGGACTTGCTACTTATAAACTAAGAAGCCCTGCAGTTTTTTTTAGTGAA